TCAAACACCTTATGAAATGTGACATAGGAGAGTACCATCCTACAAATACTTAAAAGTGTAGGGGTATTTGGTTAAAGTGGCTATTTTTAGTCCTAAAAAGACTAAGATAGGTCCTAAAATAGTTGATTGCATTTTTGTTGGTTATGCCAAGAATAGTTAGTACATATCGATTTTTGATTCATAAGTCAGAACATTTCGAAATGCATGTAAATATTCTTATTGAATCTCGAAATGTATCTTTTTTTGAACATGTTTTTCCAAATAAAACTGGACAAGAGACTAATACTAAAAAAAGATCTTATGATGATATTACTAGTCAGGATCAAGAACATAATCAAGAACAAGAACAAAAACAAGAGATGGATCAAAATGAGGAAAAGGAACTTAGGCGTAGTAAACGTGCTAGAACCTCAAAATCTTTTAGTCTAGATTTCCTAACATTTTTTGTTGCAAAATGAGCCTTTAACTTTTAAAGAAACTATATCTAGTTTTGAGGCTCCTTTATGGAAAGAAGCTATAAACAGCGAAGTTGAATCCATCTTGCAAAATCACACTTGGAAATTGGTGGATTTGCCACCAGGTTGTAAACCTCTTGGGTACAAGTGGATTTTCAAAAGAAAGATGAAAGCGGATGGATCAATTGATAAATACAAGGCAAGGCTTGTGGTCAAAGGTTTTAGACAAAAGAAGGTTTTGATTACTTTGACACATACTCATCTGTTACTAGAATAATATCCCTTACAATACTAATTGCTATTGCATCTTTATACAATCTAGAAATTCATCAAATGAATGTAAAAATTGCTTTTTTAAATGGTGAGTTAGATGAAGAAATTTATATGGGACAACCAGAAGGATTTTCTATTCTCGGAAAAGAAAAGAAAGTGTGTAAATTGGTTAAATCATTATATGGTTTAAAACAAGCGCTAAAACAATGGCATGAGAAATTTGACAATGCAATGATGTCAAATGGATTTAAAATTAATGAGTGTGATAAATGTGTTTATATTAAAAACATAAACAATAGTTATGTTATTATATGTCTTTATGTGGATGATATACTCATCATATGTAGTAATAATGACATGATTAAAACTACCAAGAAAATGTTAAATAAACATTTTGACATGAAGGACATGGACATTGCTGATGTAATTCTTGGTATGAAAATTACCAAAACATCAGAAGGTTATGCTTTGTCACAATTACATTACATTGAGAAAATACTTGACAAATTTAGCAAAGATGATGATCATTGTGCTAGAATACCTGTGGATGTTAATTTGTTTCTTTCTAAAAATGTACATGAAAGTATTTCTCAATCAGAGTATGCTCAAATTATTGGAAGCTTAATGTACGTGATGAATTACACTCGCCCGAATATAGCTTATGCAGTAAGTAAATTAAGTAGATATACGAGTAATTCAGGAGTAGAACACTAGAAAACAATTATAAGGGTTCTAAGATACCTCAAATTTACTCGTAACATTGGACTGAATTATACTAGATAGCCAGCAGTACTTGAAGGATACTGTGATGCAAACTGGATATCAGATACTAGAGACTCAAAGTCCACCAGTGGGTATGTCTTTATTCTTGGTGGCGCGGTTGTATATTGGAAATCTTCCAAACTGACTTGCATTGCTAGGTTTACTATGGAATCAGAATTCATAACTTTAGATAAAACTGGGGAAGAGGCAGAATGACTTCGCCACTTCCTTAAAGATATTCCAGTGTGGCCAAAACCGGTGCCTGCTATATGCATACATTGCGATAGTCAATCAACAATAGGTACAGAGTCATATGTATAATGGTAAGTTGCGACATATTCGTTGTTGACATAACACTTTAAGACAACTACTCTCTAATAGAATTATTTCCATTGAATATGTGAAGTCTAAAGACAACATAGCGGATCCACTAACCAAATGGTTAGCAAGAGAGCTAGTTGAGAATTCATCGAGGAGAATGAGACTTAAGCTTATTAAATAAGAGTTACCACAACGGCAACCCAACCTAATTGACTGAAGATCCCAAGATCTAGGTTCAAAGGGACAACAAAGTTATGTATGACTCATAAGGATCACCGGGGAGTTAAACTCCTATTCATTTCTATGATGAAATAGTAATGTCTATAGGGTTTTAGGTTAAGTAATACTTTTAATGATTCTTATGTCTAGGTATACCTAGTGGAATATGGCAAGATACTCTTTATAAGAATCACCTATATGAGTGTGAACTGGGCCGATTCTATGAGATTTGTGAATGACTATAATTCTCTAGAGCGCTCATGAAAGACCAGGTTGTTCAGGGCCAAAATAAACACAATAGTGAGAACTAAACTGTGTCTGGTAATATACTATGTGAGTTCTATTGTCTTGGTTTACACAAATAGCTGAACAGTTTAAGACATCATGTTCACTGGTTAGTTAGTAAATTCGATAGTGTCTCACAAGGGAAGGTTCAAAGCCAAAAGCTACCTATCATTTGCAGAATATTCCCAATTTCTGTACTTTTTGTAATTAGATTATGTTGTTGTATTTTCTCTTTGTCAAATTCTATTCATGTGGAGGATTGTTGGAAAATTTGGTTTTTATAACTTTAAGCCCAAAATTGAATGGGTCTCATACGTTTTTTGGGGTGGGTCTAAAGAGATGACGTGTTTCTTGCCGCATGGTAAGTCACATGGTGAAGATGGTTTGTCAAAACCTTTTATGAGTGAATGGGAAGTTGACATCGTTTTCGGGTTCGTGGAATGAACAAATAAAAGAATAAAATGTGGGTTTCCTTGTGAGACTTGTCCCACATTGAAACTTGAAGAAAACTCATGTGTGTATATAAGTTCTAGGTGACAACACTTGGATTGGGTCTCAAGGGGCATTCCAAGTTTGTAGAAGGGAGGAGTTATAGACAAATACAACCTTGGCTCAAACCACCGCATGCGCGCGTTGCCGCCGCCTTCCATGCGGGGCGCAGGTGTGGGTTGAATCAGTTCTAATATTAATTTTTTTTCAAAATTCTTAATGAAATTAATTCAAACTTAAATTTAATTTCTTGTCCAATGTTACCTCTTTCAATCCAATTTTTCTAAACAGTTTTTCAGATCTATTGGAACTCGGATAGATTCAAAACTGCCCAGCAGTTTCTGGACAGATTCACAACTGCTGCAGTTATCTGTTCAAATTTGAAACTACACCTGTTGAATTCAAAACCTATTTGTTCATTCAAAATCCACACCTGTTTGGACAGATTGTTTGCCTATAAATAGAGGCCATTTCCAGCAGTATTTGGCATTCGAAAACAATCGGAAAAAAAAAAATTCATTTTTGCTGTCCATTTTGCTCTTTTTTTGTATAATTCTTCATATTAATTTTTAGGGAATACTTTGAGAGTATAGAATACAGGTTTGGTTCGCCATACAAATTGTTTAGAGTGCTACTACAATTTGTGAAGATCATTGTATCCTGAGAAATAAATGCCATTTTTTCGCAAGCACCGTAGCGGGACGAATCTGTCTTAAGGATAGAGTGTCACACGCTCTACTTGATCTTTAAATATTTATTTGATTCGACAAAATAAATTCAATAAGTAATTTATTTTATTTGTTTAATTTATTTTAATTTATTTATTTTACACAAAAGATTATTTTAACAATAATCTGAAGTGTTACTAAGAGAATTCACAAGCATGCAACTACGTTTATCATGATCAACATCATTATTTAAAATAGTTTCGTTCATTCATAAACTAAACTTGTGTCATCCAGCGACATTGCTCCGTAGCGAGGAGAAGAGACTTTGAAATGGTTAAAGGAGAGCAACTGAACCCAAAATTGTTACGATGTCACCAAACCACCCAGAAAATCAAAACTATTTGTATAATGAAGTCCCCATCCCTTTAAAAATGTAAAAATGAACCAACAATTTAGGGGTTGTTTGGGGTGTCTTAAGTAAGTATATTTTTTGTCTTTTTAGACTAAAAAATTGAGGTTGAAAATATGGATGTTTGGGTTAATTTTTTGACTTTTTATGGAAAAATGTGTAATAAAAAATTGTAAAAATTGATTTGTAGGGTAAAATTCGAATTAGGGAAAAATTCGAATTGAAAATTGTGCAGCCGTAATTGTTAACTTTTGATGAATAGTATTAACTTTTTAACTTTTTGACTTTTTGAGTAACTTTTAACTTTTTAACTTTTTAACTTTTTTACAAGTTCTCAAACTTAACCTTATGACCAAAAAAGTACATTTTAATTACACTTTTGAAAACACTCATTCACCCCTTAAATTAACAAAAGCTTACGCTCAAACTGAAATCTATCTATATCACTTAAACAATCGTTTATTCTTAAACATTTAGGCTTGGTTTGGCATCTACTATATAATCCATCTTTTTATCTTTTTATCTTTTTTTCATCATATCACTTTTCTACTTTTTTGCACATCTTTTCGTAAAAAGACAAAAAGTACACTTTTTTAGGACACCCCAAACCAACCCTTACTCTCAAAATAATATCGAAATTTTTTTATTTCAATTAAACAGTGAGAGGATAATCTCATTGTACGGTAATATAAGTCTCTTGTGTATATAGTGCAAGTGTTTTCAGTATATCAAACTAACACTAAAAAAAAAAAAAAATCACAAATAATATAATTATTTTAAGATTGTCTCACTTAAATTTTCCAATAAAATTTATTTGTATGACTTTTTATTTGGAAATTATTTTTTTAATATTTTTTTACCTTTTTACATAGAAACAATCACTAAAAAAAGTCAAAAAAACAATAAAAAAAAAAAAGGCAAAAATTTCTTTCCAAATCAAACTTCAAGGCTGAAAAAAAAAAAATTTAAAAAATTTAAAAAGTCAAAAAAACCAAGCCCGTTCCCAAACGATATAAATTTAGGCATCAATGGAGACGTCTTGGCCCGGGACGAGTGAATGTGATAGTCACTACATTTCTCCAAACCCTTCACAAACCCTAATGGAGCAAGCGCGTGAATGTGATAGTCACTACATTTCTCCAAACCCTTCACAAACCCTAATGGAGCAAGCGCTGCCGGAGCTTCCGCCCGAGGTGATCTCCGAGATACTGTCTCGACTGCCGGTGAAACCACTCCTCCAATTCAGGTGCGTATCCAAACCATGGTGTTCTCTAATCGACAGCCCTACCTTCATCAAAATGCACCTTCACCGATCCATTCAATCCCGATCCAATCTCTCCCTCATTGTCACTAAGTTGAACTCGAACATCCCAAACCTACTATGCTCCGTACACTTCGATAAGCTGGACATAGATTTTGAGCTCTATCAACCACTCACGTTTGAGAAACGATTGGATCAAGTTTGGAATTTCTGCAATGGCTTGCTCTGTTTGTCTTTCAGAAACGTAGAAGTTGTTTTGTCGAACCCATCAACTCGAAAGTATTTGGAATTACCTCTCTTGCCGATCGAAATCCCAGTGGCTTTCTGTCGTATGTTTGTTGTTTTTTTTGGACTTGGGTACGATTCAGTGAGTGATGACTACAAGGTGATGAGGATTACCCAGTTTAATGGTGCTGGTTTTGTGCATTTTGAATCTAAAGTTAGGGTTTATAGTTTAAAATCGGATTATTGGAGGAAAGTTGGTGATTTTCCTCATCACCTTAAACTTGATCCATGCACTGGTTTACTTGTTGGTGGGGCTTTGCATTGGAGTGTGAATCCGAAACCAATGTTGGTTGATGGACCTCGCGCTCTTATTGCATTCGATCTTGGGTCGGAGGAATACCGAATGGTGCCTCTACCCGAGTGTGGGGCTGTCGATTTTCATTTGAAGTTTGCGGTCTTGGATGGATGCCTTTGTGTGCTTCACCATTATCATAAGAAGGGTATTGATTTATGGGTGATGAAGGAGTATGGGGTGAAGGAATCTTGGACTAAATTGATCTACATTGAGAACTCGAACGTAATTAATTGTTTTGCTATTTATTTGGAGCCCTTGGCATATTCAAAGAATGGCAAGAAGGTTCTCTTCCAACATAACTCTCAGAGATTTCTTTGGTATAACTTAGAAAGGAAGGCAGTTGAGATGGTTGAGATTTATGGTAAGCCAGACGTTTTGGAAACAACTGTATGCTTGGGTAGCCTTGTTCCACTTGATGGTGGTCGTCTGGATGATAGCAAGGACCAAGCAACAAAAGACAAAAAGAAGAAAAAGGTCTTCAGAAGGTAAACTAAAATCAAGTCATTGTGCCTTATTTGCTTTTGCTATTTTGTAAATGGTGCTTTATTTTGCTTGGCATTGTTTGTCGTAGATATAATTATGATTCATTAAATAACATGATCGAATATATTATAATGGATGAAAATAGATTTTCTTTATATAGTATACTACAGTACTACTTCTGTGGCACTCTGTGTTGCACGGTAGATCTTGCCCGTGGCATGCACATTTTTTTAGTACGAATTTTACGACATAGTGTTTCCATAAAAATGTAACTGCAAAGTTAAATGAAAGCAATTTTAGAAGATTTATATAAATCATACAAATTAAACAGAGTTCATAATATACAAAATCTTAGGAGTTAGACAATACATATACTTAAAAAAGTTGAAAAGTTTTTAAGAACTAAACATTAAAGTGAAATATTAACTTCACATGTGCATAAATAAAATCCAGTGATTTATTATATTGATTTAAGTTCCAAGTACTTAGAATTGTGGTTGCTAAGAAAATACTATTTTGTAGAGCAAAAAATACAAACATCAATGTTTGTATTTATAACTAATAGTGACATGGTAATATTGTTTGAACATTGATAGGGAGCAAATTCATTTTAAAAATTGTCTGTATTCTATTTATAACATTCTACTTTCAAATTAAATCCATTGGAAACTTGTAAAATAACATGATTAAGAAGATTATTGTTGTATTTGATTTCTTTAATAGCCTGAATTATGCTACTTATCTTCGAGAACCAAGTACAACAATTAGGGTTGTTCATGCACCTGATTCACCAGTCCGAACCAACTCAATCCAAGGCAGTACGGGTGATTCCGATGCAACACACGATTGGCTAGGTTTGTGAATTTATTTGTCTTCAGGTTTCGGTCGGTTTCGGGTTTATAAAATCTTCACCCGTCGAAACTGAACTGATCGAAACATATTTTATTCAAATAATTGTACACGTGGATTGAAAACTGTATGAGGTTGGGATTACGAGCTTATTACATCTCTCTCTGTCTCTATCTCATCATTCTAGATTGTTCATCTCTCTCTCTCTCTCTGATCTACAATCTGCAACATTGCAACCAATGACTCCCCTCCGTTCGATCAACCAATCGCACCCTATTCCTCTCTGATCTCCCTCGTCCCCTCCCCCTCTTTGATCTCTCTCAAATTCCTCTTCTAGTCTTCCTTATTCCTTGTATTGAAGATGATGATGATGGCTGTATATGGTAGGTTTATCCAGATTGGCAACATCTTAGCAAGCAACATATTAGAATATTGAGAAGATCATATTATATGACTCAAATCAAGAGACAAGTTTGTTTTTTTATTTTTTGTAAAATAGGTTAGGTTTTGTTTCAGATTGTAAGACCCGCATTCTCATACAAAATGGAAGGAAGCGAAGAAACAGAGAACATATATGCATGTATGGAAAGGAAGGATTGTGATTCACCTTAAATGGTAAAAGAAAGGGTAAATTACACTTTTTCAACTTTATGTTTTGCTACTTTCTCACTTTGGCTCTAAAAGTTTATTTTTTCCCACTTTGGCCCTTTATGTTTCAAGTTTTTCCGAGTTTACTCGTAAAGCTAACTTGTGTTAAAATTAGACAGAAAGTGACACATTGACAATCATGTGACATAAAAATATTTTGTTATAAATAACTCAAATCTCTAACACAAACTAAAATCCCAATATAATAATATATTTTTTATGTTATGTGACAGTTCTCGTGACATTTTTTTGGGTCTAATTTTGAATAAAATTTAACTTTAAGAATAAATTGAAAAAAACTTGAAACATAAAGGCCAAAGTGAGAAAAAACAAACTTGAAAGGCCAAAGTGAGAAAGTGGCAAAACATGAAGGGGGGAAAAGTGTAATTTACCCTAAAAGAAATAACAGAAGTAGAAAGACATCGTTTCCATTTTGAAATCTAAAGAATGCTAAAAATGTCAAGATAGAAAGGTTAGTAATCATAACTTTAATGTGTATCACAAAATTCATTTAAACTAATTTCATAACCAAGAACACAAATTTAACACAGCAAATATCACAAAAACTAACACATAAGATGCGAGAATTTTGTTGATGCTCTTCTTATTTAGCTTCGTGTTACTTAATCTTTTGTATGTTGGACTTTGTTTCTCTTAGTTATGATTTCCTGTCAAAGAGGTTCAAGCTGCTGCTGCAAGCCACTGTTAGAAGGAGCAAGAAGGTGTTGAGGTAAGCTAATGAATTTCATCTATTATCTTCTAAAGAACTGCCAAGTAAGGACGGTATATCTTTGATTTGACCAAATTTGGCTAGTTTGTGCAATGGCATTCATATATGGATGAATTTTATATTAGCAAAGATTGGATTGAGTTATTTAATTTGATGCTAGATGCAGTCTTTGAGCATGTGAAAGTAAATGTACACCCATACTACAGATATCTCAAATTGATTTTGGCAATCACTTTGTTTTTGTTTTCTTGGTTTAGCTATTATTTTGAACAACATTTTCTTTCGTAAGGTGTTGGGTGCTTCATGTTACGTTGACATATTTTAATTGTTTGTGCAATTTTTAACTTCTGATTTTTCTTAGTTCCTTTGAACAAGTTTTGGACAGATTTATATGCCACTATTACCCAATTATTTAATTTGTTATGTATATATATATATATAAGTGTAAATCTATACGTAGAATATAACTCAATTATATAAAAGATCCTGTGCATAGCATGGATCACTGTTAGTAAATATAGATATAGATGTGTTTTCATGTCTAATATGGGTCAAATCATGTTATCTTGTTTTTTCTTAAAACCTAATGAATAAAACTGTGCTAATATTCATATTTCATGTTCCATAAAAGTCAAATCATCTAATATGCGTTTTTAAAGACTAAACTTTGAAACTTGGCATTTAGCTTAAAATAGTAAACTGTTTTATAAAGTGCTCCTTTCTCCCACTAGTTGATTTTTCAGTAATCCTATGCGCACATTTGTGAATTATGGTAGTTTATATTATTCATTAAGGATGGTTTAGTCTTTAGGTTGTTAGGGTTTAATTCTATTAGACTATATATATTTGTACTAATTTGATTTACCTTTCAATTAATCAATGCACAAGTTTTTTATCATGGTATCAGAGCCACGACCCAGATGTTAGCATACCTTTCGCAGGTCATCATTGACCATCGTAGCCCCTTTCTCTCTCTCTTTGCAAGGCCGTCGCTGCAGTTCTCTGAGTTCTCTATTCTCTTAGTCGCACTTCAAAGCACTACGCTTTTCCCGGTTGCTGGTTCTGGTCTCTAGGTTGCGTCTTCAACTTGTTTCGACCCATCATCTGGTTCAATCGAAGCTCTTGACAACGTGAAGGACTCTGTCGATGACCTCTTCCTTGGTGATGTAATCGTTGTGAGACGACATCGACCAGATGGTGCTGCAGAGGCATCGATTTCGACCCATTTAGGATTAGGGTTTGAGCAAAAGGAGCTCGAATATGGCGAAGTATGGACTTCTGGTTTTAGGTTCACTCTCTCTCTCTCTCTCGCTCTCTCTGCTCTGCCTTGGTTCTCTCTGATTGATTTTTTGTGGTGATAAGGTTAGTATAAATTTGACCTGATTGATATTTGTGTTGATAAAGGTTATTAAGTTTGACTTGGTTGGTGCTATAATTATAGCAATTGCAATTTTGGTTAGGCACTCTGTTTTGGTTTTACTGTGTTGCTTAATTATAGGATTATGGCTGATGATAAATTGCAAGCTATCATCAATAAGTTAGATGGCACCAATTACTCTTATTGGTCTCATGTAATGAAAAATTTTATAATGGGTAAAGGCATGTGGAACTATGTGATTGGTGTGACTATTAGACCTACGGAATCTCAAGAAACTGAGGCTAATGTTGCTAAAAGGGATAAGGAAAATGCACAAATTCTTACTTGGTTTCATAATTCAGTTCAAACTACCATTGGTATGAATTTTTCTAAGTATTCTACTTCTAAACAAGTTTGGGACTATTTGAAAATCATGTATCTTGAGTCTAACTTTGCAAAACAGTATGAACTTGAGATGTCTATTCGCAGTGCTAGTCAGAAAAATAAGTCTATTCAGGAGTTCTGCAATGAGATGACTACTTAATGGAACTATCGGATTTGCAGTTACTTGACAGTTATACCAAGTATCGGGAGAAGCAACATCTTGTTCAATTTCTTATTGCCCTTGGTGATTAATTTGAGCCACTTCAGGGAGCTATTCTTTATCAGTCTCCCTTGCCTTCTATGGATGGTGTTGTTCACGAGCTTATTGCGGAAGAAACTCGGTTTAAGGTGGCTCATGGTGCTCCTGCTTCTCAATTAGTTTTTGCCACTCCTCCGCTGTTGCCCACCCCACATTCTCCTTTATTTCAGATTACTGGTAAGCCCAAGCCTCGGGTTTCTATAGATGAGTGCAACTTCTGTCATCAGAAAGGCCATTGGAAACATGCTTATCCTAAACTTTTGCAGCCTAAGGGTTGTTCATTTGGTCCACCATCCTCTAAGCCGACATCTTCGGGATCTTACTCATCTGCTGCCTTTTCTGCACTAGTTTTTGAGAATGGTTCGTCTTCTAATATGTAGTCTATGTTTGAGTAGTTCAAGTCTTTCATGGTGGCCAATCCAAATCTTTCATCCCAGGCCTCTGCTATGACTACAACTCAATTAGGTTTGTCTGGTTCATCTTCTTCAGGTAATATCCACACTTCGTGGATTTTTGATTCTGGTTGTTCACATCATATGACCCCCGTTGCATCTCTCCTCAATAATTGTGTCTCCCCATCTTCTTCTATCACTATTGCTACGGCTAATGGTTCTTCTATGCTTGTGCACTCTGTTGGTTCTATTTCCTCCTCCCATTTGTCTCTTTTTCCTATATTATGTGCCTCACATCTCACTCAGTTTTATTTCTATTAGTCAATTGTTTTCTCTTCTTCTTATTGTGTTGTGCAGGATCGGGTATTCAAGAGGCAGGTTGGGATCGGGCGTAGAGTTGGAGAACAATATATCTTGGATAGCTTGCATGTTCCTTCAGAAGTATCTTTTACAACATTGCCTTCTTTTTGTTTAAACAATAAGTCTTCTTTATTTTATATTTGGCATTTTAGGTTAGGTCATCTGTCGAGTGATCGTTTGAGGATGTTAGTTCAGTCTGGACATTTAGGATTTTTTTCCATTGATAATATTTCTGAGTGTCGTGGTTGTAAACTAGCTAAAATGTTTGCTCTTCTTTTTAATGAAAGTAGTTCTATTTCATCTTCTTATTTTCAATTGGTTCATATTGATGTTTGGGGTCTTTCCCCTATAGTTACTAAGGGTGGTTCGCAATATTATGTGTCTTTTGTGGATGATTACAATAGGTTTACCTGGGTTTATTTGATGACTCGAAAATTTGATTTCTACAAAATATATTCTAATTTTCACTCCATGATTCGCACTCAGTTTTCCACCACCATTAAAGTTCTCTGTTCTGATTTGGGGGGTGAGTATTACTTGTTGGAGTTTGAGGAGTTTTTAGCTACTCATGGCACTATTCATCAGCTTTCGTGTTCTAACACTCTTGCCCAAAATGGTTGAGCTGAGTGTAAATATCGCCATCTTCTTGATACAACTCGCTCTTTGTTGCTCTCGTCTTTTGTCCCGTCTGTTTTCTGGGGAGAAGCTGTGCTCACTACTGCATATCTTCTCAATCGGATGCCTACTCCTCTTCTCTCAGGCTCATCTCCGTATGAGCGTCTTTTTGGTGTTATTCCCAATTATTTTCTTCTTCGTATTTTCGGTTCTGCATGCTTTGTGCTCCTTCCTAAACAGGAGCGCTCTTAAGCTTAGTTTCTGTTGTGTCCTATGTGTCTTTTTAGGGTATGGCAGTAATCAGAAAGGTTATCGGTGTTATGATCCTGCCACCAAAAAGCTATACGTGTCTACGCATGTTACCTTTTAGAAAAACTACCCTACTACACTATACCTTTCACCCCTATCCCTATTACCAAGGATGAATTGGGTCATATTGACTCATTTCCTCCTGATGTTTCTCCCGATGAGTTTGTTTTTGATCTTGAGATCTCCACTTTGCCTTTTCCTAGCACTTTTGATATCTCACCAGCTATTTCCTCTCCAGCTCCTGCTTTCCCTGCTCCTCTTCTGAGCTTGCCTGTCTCTAGCTCTATTGTCCCTCCAGTTGTTTCTTTGGATCCCGCTCCTCCTGCACATCGTTTTCCAAAGCGAGACCGTCATCCTCCAAACTGGTATGGTTTTCGTAATACATGTTTTTCCTTTTCCTATCAATCTTTTCTTTCTTGTCTTCATACTTATTTTGAGCCCAGGTTCTACAAGGAAGCTTGTCATGATCCCAATTGGATTGCTGTCATGACTGACAAGTTAACTGCTTTGGCTAATACTCAGACTTGGGATTTGGTTCTATTACCTGCTGGCAAGAATATTGTAGGCTGTAAATGGCTCTATAAGGTCAAAATCCTTTCTGATGGCTTTTTGGAACGGTACAAAGCTCGTTTGGTTGCCTAAGGCTTTTCTCAGGAGTATGGGATTGATTACGATGAGACTTTTGCCCCCGTTGCCAAGATGACTACTGTTCGCACTTTTATCTCTGTTGTTGCTACCCATCACTAGCCTTTGTTATGATCCTGCCACCAAAAAGCTATACGTGTCTACGCATATTACCTTTTAGAAAAACTACCCTCCTACACTATACCTCTCACCCCTATCCCTATTACCAATGATGAATTGGGTCATATTGACTCATTTCCTCCTGATGTTTCTCCCGATGAGTTTGTTTCTGATATTGAGATCTCCACTTTGCCTTTTCCTAGCACTTTTGATATCTCACCAGCTATTTCCTCTCCAGCTCCTGCTTTCCTTGCTCCTCTTCTGAGCTTGCCTGTCTCTAGCTCTACTGTCCCTCCAGCTGTTTCTTTGGATCCCGCTCCTCCTGCACATCGTTTTCCAAAGCGAGACCGTCATCCTCCAAACTGGTATGGTTTTCGTAATATATGTTTTTCCTTTTCCTATCAATCTTTTTTTTCTTGTCTTCATACTTATTTTGAGCCCAGGTTCTACAAGGAAGCTTGTCATGATCCCAATTGGATTGCTGCCATGACTGACGAGTTAACTGCTTTGGCTAACACTCAGACTTGGGATTTGGTTCTATTACCTGCTGGCAAGAATATTGTAGGCTGTAAATGGCTTTATAAGGTCAAAATCCTTTCTGATGGCTTTTTGGAACGGTACAAAGCTCGTTTGGTTGCCCAAGGCTTTTCTCAGGAGTATGGGATTGATTACGATGAGACTTTTGCCCCCGTTGCCAAGATGACTACTGTTCGCACTCTTATCTCTGTTGTTGCTGCCCATCACTAGCCTTTGTTTCAACTAGATGTCAAAAATGCTTTTCTGAATGGGGCATCTTGCTAAAGAAGTGTATATGAGCCCTCCGCCGGGTCTCTTTCATCCTCCTGGTGTTGTTTGTCGTCTTCGTTGTGCTCTGTATGGTCTCAAGCAGTCTCCTCGTGCTTGGTATCAACGATTTCACTCTGTTGCACTTCAGCTTGGTTTTCGCCTTAGTCATCATGATTGTGCTCTTTTTGTTCGGCGCAGCTCTGTTGGTCTTGTTCTCCTTCTCTTATATGTGGATGATATGATCATCACTGGCTCTGATTATGGTCCTATTGAGGAGGTTAAGCATCAGTTGTTTTAGGATTTCGAGATGAAGGATTTGCTGTCTTTCTGGTATTTTCTTCGTATTGAGATTGCTACTTTTCCTATCTGGTATCTTCTCTCTCAGACTAAATATACCCGTGATATTCTTTCTCGTGCCAATCTCATTGATGACAAAATTGTCGACACTCCTCTTGAGTTGCACGCTAAGTTTTCTACTTCTGATGGTGTTCTTGTTGAGGATCCCACTTTGTACCGCGAGTTGGTTGGGTGCCTTGTTTATCTCACTATTTGTTAAAATCCACCTACTCTCCACCTACTTCACCCACTTAAACCTACTCCACTAAACCTAACCCACTACACCACTACCACCTCAACTTCACCTACTCCTTACCTACTACACACTCACCCTCTTCTATATATAGGAATCATGAATCATTGTAATTGATATCAATATATATCAATCAATAATACATATATTTTTACATGGTATCAGAGCAAGGTTAAGAGTTTAGTATTTTTTTCGCGTCACCGGTGGGCGGCAACCTCGCCTTGGCCACCCGCCGGACCTCAACCTAGTCCGCCGGACCTCTACACATACCTTGATCACTCTATAAAACCCCTCCGTCTCCGACGGGTGGCGCACCGTCTCCTTCTACACTGCCCAGACCGGCTCTAATATCTCCCGCTTCGTTCCAACAAGAATCAGGAAGAGAGACAAAATAAATAAATAAAATATGAATCTCGGTGGCGGTTCCGGCGATGATCCGTCGTCGTCGTCGGTGTCGCAGTGGAGCTACGCCGTGTCACGGTGGTACCAACACCTCCTGGACAAGTCGACGCCTCTCGTCTACCACCGTTGGATCGGCTTCGTCTTGGTGGCGTTGATCTACTCTATCCGCGTCTTCCTCCTTCAAGGCTACTAAAGGATCTCAAAGCTGAGCTCTCCCTTCTTCGTATCGCCAAGGTCACTGGCGGTGCTCCCACCAAGCTCTCCAAGATAAAAGTGGTTAGGTTGTCCATTGCCCAGGTGTTGACCGTGATTTCACAGAAACAGAAGTCTGTTCTGAGGGAAGCCTATAAGAACAAGAAGTACTTGCCACTTGATCTACGTCCCAAGAAAACCAGAGCCATCCGTAGACGCCTCACCAAGCATCAGGCATCACTGAAGACTGAAAGGGAGAAGAAGAAGGAGTTGTACTTTCCTATGAGGAAGTATGCTATTAAGGTGTAGGGTAGGATCTACTATACGGTGGATTTTTGTGCTTATGCATCCATATATCTACTCCATTAAAGATGAATACACGGGCTGAGAAACAAACTCAGGGACAAAGTTTTCACTTTTTTTGCATACAGCCACAGCATTCCACAAAACCAATTTTTTATTCATTTTATCATCATCTTCATCATCATGTACACCTCATGTACCCCACTCTCTCTCTCTCCCTTTCCAACCCACCAGCGCACATGATTTCTTCATTAATATATTATTTTTATTATTATTATTATTAGAGTCCCACACATTATTGGATCCATCGAGTATTCTGTAACCGGTTTGTAAGCATCTATATTTTTTCTTGATTTTTTAATGGTTATGCTTAACTTAGTTTGTATCAAACAGAGTCCTTAGTAATCAATGAACTTGGATATTATTTTGTTTTTGTTTTTGTTTTTGTATTTTGTACATCTCATAATTTAATTCTTGAAATTAAGATTAAACTAATTAAACTTAAAAATTTGAACACTTTACCTTAATATTTATAGCAGTCATGAAAATGCAATCTCAAAATATAATTTGATACTAAATTAGTTTCGAAAAAAAAATTAAATTACAAGAATTTTTTTATTTTGAAACAGCCACCTCTTTAGCAACTGTAGTTTGTAATAATGATCATACTCTTTTTATTGATCTTATTAAACAGTTATATATTTTTTTAAAAGATCACTTTACACAGTTATATTCTTGACGACTCTTAGAAAAATTGATGATTGGATAAGGTAATAAAAATATAAATTAAAATTACTTAAATGGATGAGAGAAAAATAAAGAGTTGGATAAAAGTGTATTTAAGAAAGTGACTGGATAATATGAAAATGTTTTAACAAAAATTTGTTCGAGCTTTAGTTTATTCATACATTTTTCCAAAACTGCCGCAAACCCTAAAGCATTGAACGATGCTGGACATTCTGTAAGAGGTGATTGCCGACATACTGTCGAGACTGCCGGTGAAACCACTCCTCTAGTTTGGGTGCCTATCCAAACCATGGTATGCTCCAATCAACAGTCAGACTTTATCTCTGTCTTGGCCAAATTTGGCTAATTTGTGCAATGACATTCATGTATGGATGAATTGTGGTTACATTAGCAAAGATTATGTTAAGTTATATAATTTGATGTTAGAGACATGAGGCAGTCTTTGAGCATGTGAAACAGATTGTGTGCGTGTGTTTTTTTTTCAATTGCTCTTTTTAACCTATAAAAGAACTGTCATCTCTAGTTTTCAATGTTCTGTTTGGATGGATGTGGATTTCAAATTTAGGGATTTGAGGTTGGATTTTATGAAAATATTAGAGAGTTACCTATTATAGGTGGATAGAAAAATTAGAAAAGATGTATTTTAGCAGCATCTTTGTAGCTAAAAGGGGAATCCTTGGCATAATTTCAAATAACTATTTTTGCATAGATATTTCAAATGCATCATGGGAAAGCTCTTTAACATAATCTTCAAATACTAGGAAAAACTATCAAATCTAAGTTTGTGTTATTTTCTTGCTTTCTCCTTATATGAATGCCTTTCAAATCCATAAATAGGAACGGAGCCTCACCACTTATTACCCTGTCACATTTTGCTTCTAACATTACGAACTTTATTTATTTCAGGCTCGATGCTGGAGCAATGGGAGAGTAGTTCTGTGTTAGTTAATAAGTAGTCAGAGAAAACAGAGAGAACAAGAAGGTGCTTCTTATGATGTCACGGCTATATTAGTTATGTTTGACAACTTTGTGGGCTGTTCACTAGCAGCCTGTTGTTATATCTTCTTTTGTGACATTTTATCATGTTATGTAGAGATTTAAATAGAAGCTGAGGTGTATGACATTTGAAGAGAACAACATTTGAATGGCAATAGAGAGTAACTGCACAAGCATCACCAAGTAAAGAAAGAGCACCACAATGCTGAAAAATGGTTCGTAAATCACCTAATAACAACCATTTTGCTTGTGTCTATATTGCCCTTATCATTTTGTATATTTTGTTTCCCACCAAAAGGTTCTTGTTTGCCTTCATGATCACCAATGGTGTTGTTTTCTCAAAATTGATCAGTTTGTTCTACATTTGAGTCCAATAGGAAGGGAATTTAATTGTGACTCTGTTCGTTCAATAAGATGCAGTCAATTTGTCCATATTTTCCCTGAAAAATGGTTACATATTTCTTTTTGAGAACATGATCATGTATCCTTATTGAGCACACGACCATGACCACGCAGTGTTCCGTTAATAACAGAATAAGTAAGGGGCTTGTCGTATCTTCTGTTTGCATTTTGACCTTTTGTTGGCATTAGAGAGCCACACAACTCGGTGCTTGTCCAATAAAGGGCTTTTCGTATGTTCTGTTTGCATTCGTGATTAATCTTTTGTTGGCACTTGGTAGGGTACCTTCCTTTTAACACTTATGACTAAGTCCCAAGTCCACTAATTGCTGCATTTGTGACTTCAACTTTGCAAATAATAGTAAATAGAGGAACAATCAAATTTTCATAAAGTCCAGTTCCTCTGATTTCCTGTTAGATGACTTTGTTGTTTCCTGTTTTCTTGAAAAATGAAATAAAACATGTTTGGTAACTGTTTTTGTTGTTAAACAAGTGACAATGATTACCATAATATTTGAATAGTAAAAAAAAAAAAAAATGTTTTCACTTGTTTTTTGAACAAGCCTCTTCATTGCAACTCTCTCCCTCCAGCAACTGTCCCCTTCTACATTTCCAGCAATTCTCTCCTTCAGCAACTCCCTTTATCCTTCATTTCACGACTCGCGCAAAAAACAATTAGCTTATTTTTGGATTGCGCAACATTTTCCCCCAATTTTACAATGTGTCAAATATCTTTCCTATTTTCTTTTAGTTTCTTTTGTTTCTGAAGAAGAAGAAGAAATAAAAACATGTTTGCATGTTTCTAATGTGAAAAAAATGAAAATGTGAAAAAAATGAAAATTGGCAACGCTCTGAAACGTAATTAGTTTTTTTAGTTCTTTCTATGCAAGTTTCCCATAACAATGCACTATTAGATCATTTGAATAATTTTACACCAGAAAAACTACTGCAATCAAAAATTAGATCATGAGAATGAATGAATGAAAGACCATCCAAGGGATTATTACACTTAAGGAAATAACTGACAATTTAGTGACATTCAAGTCATTTAAATTAAGGTTTTTCTATTAAGATTTACAAGACAAAATTTCATTTTGGATAGTCAAAATATCAACAAAAGTACTTAAATCAAGATTTAAGTACAATTTAAGTACTTTTCTCAATATTTTGAATCAAAAGTAGGGGTGGGCAGCGGATATTCTAATTTGTCTAAACCGATCAAATCGAATCGATTCGTTACATTTTGGACAGATACATGATGATGAGCGGACGGTTGCGGATTGATTTTTTTCAATCCACCTAGTTTTGGACAAATGGTGGATTTAAGGTTCTTTTGGCCATCCCTAGTAATTTGTAAGATTTTGTGTTTTCAATTTGTTTAGATATTTTGTTTGTGTTTTCAATTAAAAAGAGTTTAAATATTCTGATGTGTTTTCAATTTGTTTGCAATTTGAAAATTCTTTTATCAAATGACATGTGTTAATATTTGATATTTTTGCGTGAAAAATATAAGGCTTAATTTTCTTTATTTTTTTAAAAATCAAATTAAATAGTTTTTGAATATAAAAAAAGTAATGAAATAATTTTGATACTGCACGGTTTTCTTATATGTATTTATTATTGGTATTTGACAATTTATTTGATAAGTTGTTGTATTATATTCAAAATTTGTGAAAGTTTAAACCGCTAAACTGATTCGCATTCATCCGCCAATTTGTCAATCTGTTGAATCCGCATCCGTCAATCTGGAGGACGGATGCGGATTGATTTTTTCCAGTCTACCAATTCGGCAGACGGATGTTCGATTAGAGGTTTTTCGGCTGCAATCGAACCGCAAACACCCTTAATCAAAAGTACTCTTCTCAATATTCTTGACTTGGGGGTGGGGAGAGTAACAACTTGAAATTATTTTGGCATAAGATCATTCATATTCACACACAAAAAAAGAAGAAAAAGAGTTTAAAATAAGTTCTATAATGAACATAGAAATCGATTGTAGATTTAGACACATAACATATATGAATGGATAAAATTTTATAAAATTTATAAGGAAGATCAACATAAATTTTTATTCATCCATACATTTTGTATCCAATTATATGATATATTTTTGTGCTTTTAGACTTTCAAGACCCATCCTACTTCATAGTTGAAATTAAAGATCATTTTCTTCGGATTTTTGAACTTAAAAAGAGAATCTGCTGCCAAGAATCTTGCCAAATTCAATTGCTCCTCTTTGGAAATTGGGTTTGAGAAATGAGTATTGCTATCCTAATTCAAAAATTAGATTCACCTTTCAAAATCGATCATGCGATACTCTATTATAATATCTAAGACAAACTCTCTCTCTCACATGTTTTCTCTAATCATCTCTTTTACATATCATTGGGTCTTAAAAATAGGTCTAAAAAATGATTTTTAGTGAAGAATAAATGATTGGAGCAAAAATAACTTCTTTTATATAAACGTCTCACTAGTTTGGTAACGCCTCAACTTTTCAACCGTTAATAAATTAAATAAATCTCAAATTTATAATTTCAGATAACTAATAACCTGAAATATACAAATCATCTCCAAAATAATTTACACAAATATCTCCAAACATATTTTACACAATTGTCTCCAAAAATAATATATAATCTCTAACTCAATAATTCGTTGAATGCTTCAACTTCAATCGTCACTAGATTATTCCGCACCTGAAAAATAAATTAACTCCGGAAGTATACAATACTAGAAGAACAATAAGACTCACATAGAGAATAAATTAATATGGATCTAACAATTTATGCAATTCGATTCGATAATCAAGAAATTTATCAAATTGCATAAACAAATAAACTCACATACGATAACTTGTCTAAGACCAAATATCCAATCCTACTTAGTATATGATTAGTGACCGACCTCATCCACCTCACTCACCTTATCCAAGCACAACCGCTTTTCTCGGCATATTGGTACAAGCAGGGGTCCACTCGATCAATGTACAGAACATTTTTACGTCAGACAAATCAACATTTTCAATACAGAGTAACTATATAGAGTTTAATCAAATGACTAGAATAATCAAATGAATCAACATGAAATGATTTCAAAGAATTTATTAGATGACTAGAATAATTAAAAGAAATACAAATTGAAGGTAATTAATATAAAAATTCTTTGTAAAGAGATTTAGAGGAAGTATATTGTATACAACAATGATAGGTAGCTTGAAAATTCATGGCTCGAATGGCTCGAAATATCCAAAACGACGTCATTTTAAATGTAAAACGACATCGTTTTGACACATTTGAGCCATTCGAACCACACAAATTCGGTCCACCAAACATTTTTCATATTGTATACCATTTAGATTACCTCAAAACACTTCCATGATTACTTGATACTAAATTTCTCCATCACCAATACTTTAATCATCCGATATTATACCATATATCTCCAAAGATTTGGTACAGCTGGCTCTCGATTTGGAGTCCTTGATGAGTATGAGCTTAGAAGTGACGTGGATATAGGGAGGAGCCAAGCACAAGTAGCTGATGCAATGAATATGTGACACATGTGCTTTGCTGCAAAAGGAAAGGCTGTGGTGAATATCCCTAGTGATGAGGAAATATCTAATGATGGGAAGATTGTGTTAATACGAAAAGTAGTAGAGTTCCACCCCGTGATCATGGGGGTAGTGTGTCAAGATCTAATCAAGCGTTAAACATTTCAAAGCAAAGCCAGCAAAACAGCGAGTCCTCATCTCTCTATGGTCCAAACACCATTAAGACTCTCTTCAATCCATTGAATTCGAATTTTACTCTTGAATTTCCAGCTTTGGGAAATTTGTAGCATAAGGGCTCGAATAATAATGGGTCAACTGTGTTGTTAGAATCTTTTCAAATGAAGACTCCTAACTCCATTCGAATGATTGGGGATATAGGTGGTCCAATCTCGAGTTCAATTAGCAAAGAACCAATTGGTAGGCCACCGGATATAGTGGTTTTAGCAACTATAATTCAGTCCCGGGGCCAGATTGATAGTGCAGGGAGTGAAACGGGCTTAGAACTCGTTCTTAATGAGAAGACAGAAATTTGAGATCAGCTTACCTTGGTTGAGGAAATTGAGTGTAGTGAAGAAGCTGCAATTGGCGAGGAGGAGACTGGCCGAATGCTCAGCGATTGTTGAAAGTATTTTTAATGAAGATCCTAGTTTAGAATTGCAGAGGCGCTCGTGGTGATGGTTTATTCCATCATCTTCGTGAATTGGTCTAGAGTCATGATCCTGAACTCTTAGTTCTTTTGGAAACTCGAGTTCAAAGTGGGCAGGCAAAGCTTTTGACGGGTACGAGGTTGAATAAGATGATTCAAATCGAAGCTGTGGGATATTCAGGAGGTATTTGGCTGCTTTGGCGAGAAGACTTAGTAGGTGTTTGGCATGCACTAAAAAAATATATTTTTTTTTGCATACATACACTTATTTGGGTCGCAACAATCAACATCTACCAATATTCTCTCTACTTTTCTACCCACTTTCTCTACACAAACTTTTTATTTTTATTTTTTATAAAAAGACAAAAAGTGCACTTATTTAGAATATCTCAAACCACCCTTTAGTTATAGCAGAAGAATTATCTCACCCGTCCTAAGCGCTGAATGTGCTTGTTAAAAGGAAACATGAAGTGGATTGGATTTTTACAGCCATTTATGCAAGTCCAAACCCAATTGTGAGGGAAGAGTTGTGGATGTATTTACAAAGATTCGCCGACAATCTGACTATTCCATGGTTGGTAGCTAGAGACCTTAATGGAATAACTGGAAGTAATGAAAAGAGCGGTGGAGCTCCCATTCACCAAAATAGATGTGAAAGGTTTGCCCATTGTATAGATTAATGTGTTAGATAATATCTCAATAGGACCACATATTTAAATATGGTGTTATCATTTATAAGAAGTCTACAATCTAAATGATTCAATTTAGTTAATAGGCTTAAGGGTATATGTGTCATGGACCTAATGTGTAGATACTAGTTGAGTAATTTCTATT